ATCACTTTGTGTCTTTAATTCCTCACTTAGAGGGTAAGTTTAACAAAGGGAAGAATTATAGTCACTATTTTTTAAAATATCCCCTCATTGCAGTGTTATGCATGTTAATATTATTCAAGCATTGAGACTAAATAACTTTGAAATACAATTGAAGACATATACAAAAATATCTGGGGTTAGTTATAAATACAGATGTAGACGTAGACATAGAAGTAGATACAGATGTATAAGTAAATGTAGATACAGATCTTTAGCCTAGTATAGGGGGGAAAAACCCTTCTAGGAATCAAGAGAATTCTTTCTAGTCTTAGCTCTGCCACCTCCTTGCTAACTCTCAGAATATTTAAGTCCGCTATCTGTAAAATGAGTATAATACTTTTTATCTTAATTTTAAAAGGCTAACAGGGAAGTAAAAAAACCCTTTTTTAAAATTTAGTTTTCTATAAACTATTGTGCAAGTAGATAAAAGAACTGTTGGGGGTTGTTTTTGTTGGGTTTATATATATATATATATATATATATATATATATATATATATATATATATATATATATATAATTTTTTTTTTTTGGTAATTGAATGAATAGTAAGGTGGAAGCTCATTTTCTACACACTCACTGAAAGCTTCTTCAGAACAAATACAGTAGCAGATAGAACTAAAGAGAAAATATGTATCTTGTCCTTTCCCTAAATTGTTATTATTTCATCTTTATATTTTTCAATACTTTTCATTCCATGCAGTTTAGAAATTATGATTGATTTAGTAATATATTTAAAATGTTCTCTTTTAAAAATCACTAAAAATTTCATGTATCAGTGACTGTGGACAATATTGTCCACAGTAATGGTCTGTTTACTGCTCAGTTTATTTTATGAATATTCAGGGATATATTGGGGTTCATATTTATTGTATGGGCATTTGTTAGGTTAGTTCACTTCTAGTTTTCTTTCTAGCTATCTGATTATGGCTTTCTGGTTATAAAGTAGATGCAGAATTAATTGTATAATCTCTACTGAATCATAAATCTAGACACCTTAAAGCTTACCTCTCTATATAATTTCTAGAGGTGATGACTGGATACTGAATCACTAGCATAAATACCCTCCATTTATATAAATTAATTTACATGACTCAAGCATTTCTGAACCATTCTTTATTCACATATTTTTCATTGAGTTCATGTATATGTCACCCAATCAATCTCTTTTGATTCCATGTTTTTATCTTAGCTCATTTATGGGCTTCATTCTACGAATTCAGTGACATATAATCATCATCAGCCTTCATTATTGCTTTGTGAAGCGTATGTTCTAAAGTGAGTCTATAAATTTTTTGTTTATGATATACTCTGAGTATATCTATCAATACTCTCTGCCCCACTTTTTTTTTTTTTTGACGAGCAAGTATTCATCTGTCTCTGACAGCTATGATGTATGTGACAGGACTACTTCACTGCAAGTTTCTTCCCACCCACAACACGGGAAAGCTCTCCCAAAAAGAAGTTACAGCTGCCCCCAAGGATATGATTGACCCTTGTCCCTAGGTTTCCTGGTTATCTAAAGGCATTAAAAAGACCCAGCCATGTGGAATCTAGACCCATCGGACATGGTGGATTTCTGAAATCCATTTGAGTCACCTTATCTGGCCCTGCTAACAGGGGTATGCTAGAGCCAGCTTAAACTGGTTAGAGATCAGATTGTTAAATTTTCAGTCTGAGCATTTGAGCCTTGGAAAGAGGCAAACACTACAAACAGGACTTAATTCATTGTTTTGTTGTTATCCAGACTTGAGAAAATGATGAAGAAATTGTTAATAAGGCAGACTAAATTTAAATGTGTGTCACACATACACATATAATTTCTTTTTTTAGAGAGCTGTTTGTTAAACAATTAGCAGTACATCCTTGCCTATTGACCAGACACATTTTCATATGGAGACTATGTGGCTATATCTAGAGAAGCTAATTGCCACTATATGGTTATTGCATATTCTTGTTGGGTTAGGGTCAAGTAAACCTCCTTTTGTTACATGTTCAATGACTTGCAAGTGTCTCTTTTCATCCCAACATTAAAATTGAACCAAGAGGTGCTGGCATTAAAACCATATTTCTTAAAAGGTGATGAGACTTTTTTTGTTTGTTTGTTTTATCAATATTACATAGATTTTTGTTTGGGAGAATGTTTGCTTATGATTTTCATAGCAGGTACCAGTTTTTTAAAATTACTCTGCTTTGTTATAGTTGGTCTAATAGTTGGATTTTTGTTATCAAACTCAAAAAGGACTTTTTGAAGTCCCATTCTAAATGTGTGTATCTGTATTTCAAAATCATTTGTAATATCAGCATTTTTTTTTTTGCCATGTAACATTAGATAGCATCTCTGGGATTCAATTTAAATGTATACTTCTGGGACAGCTAGGTGGCAGAGTAAACAGATCACCAGCCCTGGAGTCAGGAGAATGTGAGTTCAAATCCATCTTCAAATACTTTCTAGCTGTGTGACCCTGGGCAAGTCACTTAACCCCAATCACCTCCAAAATAAAAGAAAATAAATGTATATTTCCAATGATTTCAGGTTTTTCAAACTTCTACCTTTGGATTTTAAGTAACAACTCAACTTTCACTCTTATTTCAGTTGGTCTTCTCCTAACAACATACACTGAGCATAGGAATATCAACGAGAAAGAGGCTACGCAAATTAAACTGACTGGCATCCTGAATTCAAAACTTAAAGGTCAAAATACATTTTGAGCAATTAATACCTACACAATACCAGTGTGAATGTATAATTTGGGCACTGTAAAATCAGTAATCCTGGATCTAGAAGGTATCAAAAAAATCTATATAATATGACATAGGGTCATAGTAGAAAACGTGCCTGTGAGGTAATTAAGAATTGCCTTATTTAACTTGACAGACCACAGTGAATATAAATTTTGATAGTATTTAGGAATATAATATAAGCTGCTGAATGAAGAATAATCTGAAGCCTGTTCCTGTTGGTGTTGCAAGCAATTATAGGAAAGACCTGAAGCATGGCTAGAGATGTCATCCATACCCTGAGTTGGGATGACTTAGAGTTGAACATGTATTCACAAGTTGTTCCATGTGACTTCTGCTAGTCAGTTTTTTTTTGCTGATCTGATCTAAAGCTATTTCAATCATATCATTAATTTTGGCTCACCTTTTTTCTTGGGGGAAAGAACCTTAGTACAATACTACCATTGCCTACTATTTTTCTTTTGGTAGGAAAAGAAAATCTTACAAAGAAATAAAAAAAGAAATTCTCTTATCATCAAACAGCATTTATTTTTGTCCCCACCACCAATCTATTTCCAACAATTAAGTACGGTTGAATTTGTTTTCTTGGAGCTGTCCATGGACAACACTTTAATGAGCACCTACCTGTGAAAGACACTGTACCAGGCCTTCCTGGTGAGATCAAACATAATTTAGTAGATATGGTTCTTCATAACCTAACTGAACAGCAGGGTAAGTTGATATTTATGTAATTCAATAAATACTCACTAAGGTCTTATTATATTCGTGGCACTATCAGGAATACAGGATCATAGTTTTATAGTTTAGAAGAGATTTTAGAAGTCATCTACTCTAACTCTAAATTTCACTGATAAACAAAGGACTGGATGGGTTAAGTGACTTTCCCAAAATCATACTTTGTATGAGGGGGTGGAGAGAGCCAGAAGTAGGATTTGAATCTAGCTCCTTGGACTTAAACTCCAGTACACTTTCCAACATAAAAAGGCATACATACCCTTGTACAGAATTCAAGTGCTTCCAGCTGATTAGCCTATGCTAACCACTGCACCAATTCAGCATTTAATATGCACCTACTATATGTAGAGCATTTTGCTAGAAGCTGGAGGATAAAACGTTGAAGAAAGATATGGTCCTAATTCTCAAGGAGTTTACAATCTAGAGTAAATAAGACAAGTACACAAGTACCTTTAATACAAGTTGAATAAGACTAAGGTAGAAGTCCAAAGAAAGTATTGGTAGAAATTCAAAGAGAATGAGAGCCTTTTAAAATGACATGTAGGAAGGCCTAACAGAGAGCGAGTTCAGCCTTGAAAAGGAGGAAGGATATCAGGCAGAGGTAAAGAGTCAGGTGAGGGGAGAGTCCATTCAGGGAATGGGGGGGAACACGATCATAAAGTAAGCTCAGGACTTCATGATACATCATCCACCATAGTTTCTAATGCAGTTGAATTATAGTACCTGTGTTTATCCTGGCACTTTGTTCCACATTTTCTTAGTTAATTTGAAAATCTTGCTGTCTGTTGCCGTTTTGTTTTGGACAAAACTAGTCAGAGTAATGCTGGTGGGGACACTTCTCTTAGTTTTTTTCCGTCCCACTTTTCTCCTCTCGCTTTCCTTACTAAGGGAGGGTATGGGATGGGGAGTATCTCCCCAGCAAATGCTTCTGCTTCCTTCTTCCCTTCTCTCCCTTTCCTTCCCAACAGGCCCAAAAGCCAACAGATATGGGATCTACACTTTGAGAACTCCCCTGCGGCTTAAGCAACGGAGCTGGGCATGCTCAGACACCAAGGACTTTGGCTTCTAAGTTTGGCAGCTTCCCCCACCTCACTGCATCTGAACAAGCAGGTCTGCATTTGGGAAGTGTAAAAAAACCCAGGAGGAAATAAGCCCATTTCTCACAGTGGTGGAAGGGAGGCGGGGAAGAGGGGGGCGGCAGCGTATGTCAGTGGATTTGGTTTTTTCCCAAAACTTGACCCTCTTTCCCCTTGGGCCGGGAACCCTTGCACGCACCGGGGGCACTGGGAGGGGGCGCAAGCATTTGCGCACTGGCCTCCGAAAAGGGGAGCGGGGGAGTGAAGTGGGTGGGAAAGGAAATGCGGGGGCGCGCGCGCGTCCTGCAGAGGGAGGTGTTGTCCGAGTGCACGTGTGCGGGTGCGCGCCTTGGGGAGTGGAGGGAAGGAAAAGAGGCGGGGCCGCGGCCAGGACCGGGTTGGGGCGAGAGTACGCGGGCGCATTGCACTCCCGGGGAGGTGCAGCTACAGCAGCCAGAGCAGTAGCGGCGGCGGTGGCTGCGCGCTGGGGGCGTTAAATACTATCTGTATCACTTTTGGCAGCAGCAACAGTATCCCCTGCCTTCCATCCTCCTGTCTGGGTCCCGGGGAGCTGAAGTGCCCCTCCCAGAAGGGGAGCTCAGGGCCTGAGAATCCTCCCCTGGATGCTTCTGGCGCTCGCTTCCTAGACTCCTAGTTTCGCCAGTGGGCTGGGAAGTGGGGAGAGCTCCCGGAGAGGGACGCCTTGGAACCTCTGCTGCCTTCAAGCCCACGAGCGAGCCCAGAGGCGACCGCAGAGGAGCCTTGCATTTGGGATTGGGGAAGAAGAGGTAGACGTTGGAGGTGGAGGGAGGAACGGTCCTTCCCGACGCTCCGCAAGATGGGCTGTACGTTGAGTGCAGAGGACAAGGCGGCGGTGGAACGGAGTAAGATGATTGACCGTAACCTGAGGGAGGATGGTGAGAAAGCCGCCCGGGAGGTCAAGCTGCTTCTGCTGGGTAAGGAAGAAAAAGCCCATTGGGAGGATGGCATGGGCTAAGGGTATTGCTTACCATCACTATAGTGTTATGATTATTCTCATTTTGGGGGGAGGGAGACGGACCCCGTGGATGTGGCTTTGGTGTGAGTCACTAAATGATCCCATTCTGCTGAGTTGAGCCTTTTCGGTGGAGGGAGCTGGTAATGGGTGGGGTGGGGTGGGATGAGGATTGGGTGAGAGTAAGTTTACACTGCCTCTTTTCCCTTGCCCATCAGACTCACAGATTGGGTGGGTTTCGGAAGTCAGCTTGGAGGGAGGTATTGAAATATGTTCTTAAAGATGAAGACGGGGGGGGGCGGTGGACATTTTTCTTTATTTCTTTCCTTTCCTATTAAAGGACTTCAAAAGGTATGCAGAACCAAGAAGTAAGATATGTTTGGTGGTGTAGTGTAGGACAGAAGCAAGCCAGCCCTTGGTTTTTCCCATCCCACTTCCCTCCTCCTTCCTAATGTGCTCATGAGAACTTGCAGAGAGGTTGGTTGTAGAGTAGATAATTTTCCCCCCTTGCTCTACTCCACAGGCTTTTGATGCAATCTTTATTAAAAAGACAGAATCGGTTTGATTGCAGATAGGTCATACCTGGGTACGTTTTTAAAACCTTCTTTTCGAAGTTTATTTAACCTTTTTCTACAGTGAAGGGGCTTAAAATAAAAAAAAAAAACTCAGGAAAGGTGTTATCGGCTTCTATTTAGGAGTCAAAGTCTTTGCAGAGCTATGTACCTAGCTTTTACAAACATGCCTTAGGTATTGAACTTCAAAAGGCCGTTTTCTAAGTATTAAGGTAATATTACTGTTTTTAAGCTTTCTAAAGCAGGTCGGCACTGCATTAGAAGGCTGTTATTTCTTGTTGGAAAGAAGCTGTAATTTTTTTTTCTACACCCATTACTAGAGGTAGGCAGTTACTGTTTTATGTAGGAAAAAGAAAAGATATTTTGGAATTGAAAATGTCACTTTGAAAAATAGTACAGAGTAATTTTCCAAATGAAAAATTCATTCTCATCTACCCCTCCTTTCTTCCTCTCCCTCTCCCCATCTTTTCCTTTCTCTGCCATTTAAGTGGTCAGCTTGTGTGAAACTTGGAAAATATTTCACTTTTTTTCAGTCATCATCATGGTCATCAAAATACTTAGGTGAAAATTACTTTCTTTTATTTACAGGAAAATAAGATGAACAAGGTTTATGAGTCAGGAATATATTAAGTAGTTGGAGGTTCTTTTTTTTAATAAAAGGGTTCTATTCCCTCTTTAAACACTTAAAATACTACAGATGAAATTTAATATTTTCATTCTGGAGATTAAGTTCTACATAAGTTTTGATTGTTTTTTTTTCTAAAAAGTGTGCAGTGGAAGCAGAAAATTTACATGGGCAACCTTTAGATATACTTTATTTGGTTTAATGAGCTACAAAATAAATAGAGTCTTTTGGTTAGTTTTCCTATAGTATCAAATCTGGAATGTTTAAAAGTAGTAATGAAGCAAGTCATTCTGTGGACAAACTGTGAAATTTTTAAGACTGGGGTGGCCACCCTTTCTCTTGCTAATGGCTACTTTTTCAGGGTTAATACGATTTTTTGAAGTTCATGTAGCATGACAGATTGATATAAAGATAATGATAAGGTCAAGATATATATGGGGTGCACAAAAAAGTTGTACCAGTTCATATCCATTTGTCTTGTGGGAGTGATTGTCTTCTGACTTGGATGCTCTTGAGAGCACATGCAAAGCAAGAAGCTTTTTTCAAGATTCAGGATTGTTGCTCTGAAATTCTCACATAGGCCCAGTTCAGCTGTCAGTTTGAGAAACGCATCTTATAAGTTTTCACTAAAACAAACTTAAAATCAACTGGGAGAACATGTTATAAAAAAAAGAAGAAAAGAAAAGAAAACATTGGCCTTAATTTCTTCTGAAGAAGTCCTGGAATTGCTATATATACTTTTGAACGTTGTAGTATGGCATAGGTAGTGCAGCAGATAGAGTGCCAACCTGGAGTCAGGAAGACTCATCTTCCAGGATTTAAATCTGGCCTCAGACACTTATTAGCTGTGTGACTCTGTGCTAGTTTTTGCCTCAGTTCCCTCATCTGTAAAATGAGCTGGAGAAGGAAATGGCAAATCATTCCAGTATCTTTGCCAAGAAAATCCCCAGTGGGATCAAGAAAAGTCAAACACAACTGAAACAGCTGAACAAGTAGTAGAAACAATACTAGACCTGCAATAGAATATCTGGGTACAAATTAGTTTTTTTTTAAGCTTTAATTTCAGAAGCTTTGAAATGCTCACACAATCTTCAGTTAATTAATAGTAGGACTCAAATTCTTTCCTTGAAGTGCTGTGTAAGTAAAGATTCTTCTTCTTCTCCTTCTTGTTTCTGACATTTCTTAGTTGTATCACTTCTAAGACTTAACTTTCCTGTAACTCAGCTTTTTTTGTTTTTTAATTTTTTTTTGGCTAGGCAATGGGGTTAAGTGACTTGCCCAGGGTCACGCATCTAGTAAGTGTCATGTGTCTGAGGCTGGATTTGAACCTAGGTCCTCCTGAATTCAGGGCCAGTGCTCTAGCCACTGTACCACCTAGCTGCCCCAACTCAGCTTTCTAATCTGGAAAATGGCAGTAATAACATTCAAATTAGACATATTAGATAAGTAACATAAGAAGCTTTCAAACTGTTTAATATTGCAGAAATGTAAGCTATTATTCAAAGTACTTGTGCTAATGATAGGTTGATAGTTTGAAAGCTAGAAGGCACTGTGGAGACCAACAAATCTAAGCCCTCATCTTTTTTTTCTTTGTCTTTGTCTTTTTTTTTTAACAGAGAAATAAATTTAGCTCTCAGAGAGTATCATTTTCCCAAGGGCATTCTTATAATAAATATGGAAGTTGGAATTTCAACTCAGTCTTCCTCCAAATTCAGCATTCTTTCTACCAGGTTGCCCCCTCATGCAATGAAGTTATAAAATGGAGGGATAGATAAGGCCAGAGACCCCCTTTTGTGTTTTTTTTTCCACTCTTCGGGGGGCTAATGCTTTTTAAGAACACTTTGTGTTAAAATGTGCTTATCAAAACAGCGTTTTTCTTTAATGTGTAGGATCTGCAAAGAACATGAATCTTTACAGCAGGTTACAGTACATTGATAGTATTTAGAAAATACCAAGAGATTAAATACTTTTTGCTAATTACATTAAAATATTTCAAAATAATTTTTCATTATTCTCAAGTGGCGGTGGGCATGAATTTCCATAACTATATATTCTTAATTGTTCTGGCCTTGGCTTCCCATTTCTCTTAGCAAAATTATGTTCAACTCCTATGTTCCCTCTTTTGTCTCCTCCTACTAATAGTGATTCTGGAGTACCCTTTGGCCCAGAGTTCTCTTAACATTTTACTGACTAAGAGTTCAGTAATTTCATAAATTTCCCTTTCTGGAATGTTTGAGTACAGACTTTTATTTGACTTTAGACTGCCAAAATCTGACCTTCTGTACTTTTTTTTCCTGCTAAAAATTTGAGGGGTAGTTTAATCATTCCAATACAAGGGTCCAAAATGTATTAGCTGGAAACAAAATGATTTATAGGTAACATATATGGCCAGCGTCATTTTCTGTCTGATTAATTAATGAAACAAAAGTTTATTAAATGCCTAATATTTGCAAGGCATTGTCTTAGGCATTAGGAGTACAAAGATGAAAAGCATACTTCCTTTATGGGAGTTACGGTCTATTGGAGGGATGGGATAAAGCATGTATACAAATCAATGTGCTAGAAGGGAAAATTAAAATAAAAATAATAAAAATAATAGCTAGAATTCATATAGTACTTTGAAGTTTACAGAATGCTGTATACCAACCTGTAAGATAGGTGCTATTTTTATTCACATTTTACATATGAGGAAACAGAGGCAGAAGCTGAACAGTTACTCAGTCACAGAGCTAGTATCTGAGGCAGGATTTGAACTCATTCTTTGAGGTCCGTCACTCTGTCAGTGTTCTACCCAGCTAATGTGATAATTTTTTATAATAGCTGACTTTTATATAGTGCTTCAAGATTTGCTTTGTTTGAATAGTTCTCCCATTTAAGCCTCCTGACAACCCTCTGAGGTTGATAGAATAATGAGCAAGTTACTTAATGTCCTCTGGCCTCAGTTTCCTTGTGTTTAAAATGAGGGATTGGAATTATTGGCCTCTCAGGTTTATTGTAGCTGTAAATCTCTGATACTTTGAAAAGAGTTGAAGAAACTAGAGCCCAAGAAAGTTAGTTAAGTGATTGCCTAAGGTATAAGAGTAAATGGCAGAAGGAAAATTGGGGCTCGAGTCTGATGACACTAGGTCTAATCTTTCTACTACTGCCTCCCCAGTGTGTTTGCAGAAGTCTTGGCACACTGTGATAAGAAATATGAGAAGGGAAAGATCCTTTTCAGCTGAAGAAATTGAGGGAGGAGGCTTCATGGAGAATAGCACCTGGCCTGCAGTGTAAAGGAAGAGAATCTTCAACCTAAGATAGGTTCTTCTGATTATATAATAACCCTTGACAGAATGCTTAGAGCAGAGAGGAAAGAAAAAGAGGACTGGCTGGTAGACCCTAGTGGTAATATGAAACAAGGCAAGAAAGGCAGGCTAAGGAAGAAGTTTGCATTTTATGTTAGAGTAAGTGGGGCTACTGGTAGTTTTTGAATACTTACAACTTATTTGGTTATAATTTGGTGAAGACACCTGGGATGTTGCAAGATACATTGGGAACATACTTTCTTCTCTATTAAAGGGAAACATATCCATCCACATGAAATCTTCCCTAGAAAAGTCACCTTCACTAAGTGGGCAGTCTCAGATGACTTGTTTTTTTTTCTAATTTTTGAATTTTTTTTGATCCTTATGACTTGAAGAAAAACTGCATCTTTTATCACCTTTTCTGTGACTTCTGGTTTTCTCATCCTGATAGGACTTTGAAATTAGAAATATCACTTTGGTA